GGCGCTGTCAGCAATGAATACACAGCAACAGATTTTGGTACTTACCGCGCACGTTTTAAAAGATCAGCCACCGCAGAATGGTCTGCATGGTCACTGCTGCCAGCAGTTATTTCACCCATATGCCCGCCGGTTGCGGGTACCGGCACAGGCCTGAAGGGAACTTACTATAACAATGTTGACTTCACTGCCCCTGCCTCGCTGACAAGAGTTGATTCTGCCATTAATTTTGTGTACGAATTCAACAGCAGCCCTGTAGCGCCGTTGGGTGTGGACCATTATTCTATCAAGTGGACCGGTAAAATTCAGCCGCAGTTTTCTGAAACCTATACTTTTTACACCAAGAGTGACGATGGCATACGCCTTACGGTGAATGGCGTACAACTCATTAATAATTTTGTAGACCATGGCACTACCGAAGACCTGGCAAGCATTGCACTGGTGGCCGGGCAGAAATACGATATCAGTATTGACTATTACAACAGGAATGGCGCAGGAGTAGCTACGCTCAAATGGTCAAGTCCATCTACCGTAAAACAGATGGTGCCGGAAACCCAGCTGTACCCAGATACCGCCAGCACGCCTGCAGTTCCTGTTTGCGCCACCAATACTGCGCCTGTTAATAATACTACCATTGCCACCCAAACCACCGCCAGCTTAGCCTGGAATGCAGTGCCCACCGCCACCGCGTACGATGTGTATTTATGGACAGGTGCCACGGCGCCGGTTACCCCAACGGCTGCAAATGTAGCCGCTACCAGCTACAACGCCGCCGCATTAACGGCTGCTACCAACTACAGCTGGTATGTGGTGCCGAAAAATGCCGCCGGTTCCGCTACAGGTTGCAGCACCAGCAACAAAACCAGTTTTACCACTGCGGCGGCTGCTACCGGCGGTGCCGGTACCGGCTTGCAGGGTGCTTATTTTAACAATATAACGTTAACGGGTAGCCCAGTAGTAACCCGCACAGATACAACTGTTAATTTTGACTATATTTATACGGCTGCTGCACCCGGTGTAAACCTGGAAAACTATTCAGTGCGCTGGACAGGACAGGTAAAAGCGGTATACTCTCAAACCTATACCTTCTACGCAGTTACAGATGACGGTGTAAGGCTTTGGGTAAATGGCGTTCAGCTGATTAATAATTGGGTGAACCAGGGCGCTACCGAGAAGAGCGGCAGTATTGCACTGGTTGCCGGCCAGCGGTATGATATTGTTATGGAGTATTACCAGGGCACCGGTTACGCATCGTCAAAACTCTACTGGTCAAGTGCCAGTACGCCAAAGGCAATTATACCCAAACTGCAGCTGTTCCCGCCCGGATATGTAGATCCAACTGCACCATTGTGTACTACTAATAGTTTGCCCGCCAATGGAGCCACCGTGGCACTGGCAACATCCGCCAGCCTCAGCTGGAATGCAGCAGCATCAGCTACCGCCTATGATTTGTATATCTGGACAGGCGCTACTGCACCCGTTACACCCACAGTTGCCAATATTGCAGCAACCAATTACAATGCCACCGGGTTAACAGCTGCCACAAACTATAATTGGTACGTGGTGCCCAAGAATGCCACAGGCAGTGCCACCGGTTGCAGCAGCAGTAAAACCACGTTTGTAACAGCAGCGGCATCCGTTCCCTCCTGTACCGCCAATTCCGCGCCTGCTAATGGCAGCACCGTTGCCGCCACCAATATTGCAACCCTTACATGGACCGCTGCAGCCACGGCCACTTCTTATGATGTGTATGTATGGACAGGTGCTACCGCCCCCGCTGTTCCTACTGCCAATACCAGCAGCACCAGCTATACGGCCGGCGGGCTCAGCACGGGCACCTTGTATAGCTGGTATGTGGCACCAAGAAATGCAAGCGGCCCTGCAACGGGTTGTGCAGGTACCAATAAATGGACTTTTACCACAGCAGGTGCCAGTACCGGCACCGGGTTACAGGGTGCTTACTTCAACAATATAACGTTAACGGGCAGCCCGGTAGTAACCAGGATAGACCCTACGGTTAATTTTGATTATATCTATCAGCAGTCGGCACCCGGCATGAACCTGGAAAACTATTCAGTACGCTGGAGCGGCCAGGTAAAACCGCAGTTTACGGAGACCTAT